CCTGACTAGGCTCCCGTCACATGACACCCTTTGACACTTTCCTGCAGAAGCAAGGCACACAATCAGTTTTGTACTTTGGAATGCCACCTCTGGCCCTCCTCAGGCAGCCAGGTTGGGGACCTGCTGGGATCCTCTGTGGAAGCCCCTGGTGTCCTCCGGCAGGCTGGGCCTCTGGGTTCTGGTGCTGCCTGAGTTTGGAGCAGTGGGCATGGAGTGAGCTGAGGCAGGAGGGTCTGCACCGGACATCCAGCACTGTGCCACGGCTGAGCCCCGTGTGTGCCCCTCTTTAACTTAGGGGTGTGTTAGTTACTTTTCCTGTCACAGAGACCAAATACCTTACACCCACAGGTTAAAGGGGGAAAGGCTCATTCAGCTTATGGTCTGTAGGGGTTTCAGTCCATCAGGCTGCTCCGAGGCAGGGTAGCATGGCAGGGGCATCGCAGAAGAGGGACAGTTCATGGTGGGCAGCAGGTATCAACTCTGCAAACAAGGCAGGGACTTCAGCAGTGCACCTCTGCCCCTTGTGTCTTATCCAGGCTTCTTGGGGCAGGAAGCACCCTTAATCCTAGTGCCTTGAGCCTAGCACTACACCATGACTCGATCCCAGCATCACATGCTCTAAATCCAGCCACCTCTGAAAAGCCCCCCTCTGACCACATGAGGCTTCGGAGGGCATCTAGACACAGCAGTAACGGGGATACGGCCACTGGTGAGGCCCCATTGCTCTCTGGACCCCTTTCCAGAAGGCGCAGGCGGCCTTGCAGAGCTACTGTCTCAGCAAAGGCCCCTTTCTTCTCCCAGCGCTGGGAAGAGCCCAGGAATGCAGGGCCAGAGGACTAAGGCCCTGGGGCCTAGCCTCAGGCCCGAGCGGCCCTTTTCCAGTTTCCACAGAAACAAGCCATGGGTGGTGCCCACCGTGGGGTTTTTAGACTGCTTCCTCTCGAGGACCCGCCCCATAGCTACCACTCTGCAAGAGGTTGAAGGCTCAGCTTATTTTGCTGCTCTGGAGCCCTTGGCTCAGCTCTCCAGGCTCTCTTGCAAGCCTTGCAAGTTCAACTTTCTCTTTCAGGAGCTTTTTGTTGTTGTTGCTTCCAAGCTTGATGGAAAGGGGTGACCATTAGTGCAGTCAAGGTAAAGACTCTGAGCCGACTGTGATAGCTCATCACATCTAGTCAGTGTTACACATCATTAGGGTTTAGATCCGGGGTGTCCCCTGAGGCCTCATGTGTATATGTTGGGACAGGCTGTAATAAATTATGAGGGGGGTCTGACTATGTGACTTAAGCCCCCTACCCCAGTCCCAAGGTTGGTTTGACCTTGCTTCAGGAACAGGGAGGGATAGGAAAGCCAAGTGCCCCTGGCTATGGGTGGCCCGCTAATGACCTACACTCCTGAGCTATCTGCAGAGGGCAGTTGTCAAAACATAGGCATTTGGGTTTAGAGAAAATTGGGCTCCTCATGGATTGAGTCCTTATCCACTCACTTTCTACAGCTGCTGGCCCATGAAATGCATGCAACCCCTCCTCCTGTATTTCTTGTTAGCTAATAAAAGCCAAATGTGGAGGTAGCTGAGCCAGCCCATTAGAGGCAAGCTCCTTTGAGTCCCTCTTGTATCCTGAAATTTGTCTCTGTCTTTATTCCCTTTGTCCCCCTACAGGTGTCTGAGGGTCTGATCAGCCCTCGGTTTATATGGGAGATGACTGCACCATGGGGAGCCACAGCTGACTTGCTGTTAGGACAGAGGGCCTGGAAGGGCGCGTTTCCCTCCCGTCTCTCCCTGCTCCTGCTGCCTGTCTGCCATGCCGTGAGCAGCTCTCCACCAGCCCCCCTGCACCTTGCTGCTCCTGCCTTGGAGCCAGCCGACTGGGGATTATGACCATGAGCCAAAAGAAACCTCCCCTCCTTCTGTTGTGGGAGTCAGGTGACTAAGACACACACTTACATTTTCTTATTGAAATCTACTCAATTTATTTCTGAAGGCTTGGGAGAAAATTCAATCCCAGCCAGAGAACTGGAAGTGAAAGAGCAGAGAGCGGGAGACCACAGCTCAGTGCCTTGGTGGAGACATCAGGCTCTGCCGAGATTACTGGACTCTGCTCTGGCAGTTCTACATCACTTCTCAGCTGAGGATTCCTCACTGGGAAACCCCAGGGGCCGAGCAGCTGCTGTACCTCCATGCATTCAGAACTTCGCTCAGTCTATGGTGTGAGGTATGGCCAAGGAGGAGCTCCATGAGGAAGAACCCAGAATGTTGTGCTATGTACCAGAGTGACGTAGGAACCGCAGTCAGGACTTCCCCTTGCAGGAAGGTTGTCAGTAGTGATAGCAGAAGGAAAGGGGAAATAAATAAATAAATAAATAAGGAAGTGACTCTTCTGTTAGCAGTGCTCTGCAGTGTGCCAAGCAAATCCACCCATGCCATCTTATGTGGGAAGAAGGCATAATTTCAGGGACTTCTCTTTGATGGAGAAAGATGGCATTGGTATCCCTTGCCCCAGAGGTGTGGTGACAGTACTGAATGGTTTCCATGAGCCAGGCACTCAGGTAGGACCTCTGCATGCACACAGTTATGCCCACGCATGGATGAGGAAACGGCAGACAGTAGTGAAGTAGTCTGCCCAGGGCCACCCAGCTGGCAAGTGGCAGGCCAAGCGTCAGAACCGGAGATGAGCCTTAGAACAAAGGCTGTCACCCGCATCTTGTATTCCTAGTCATCCCTCCATTCATGAAGAAAGTCTTTGGTGAGCACCCATAGTAGGAAGGCATTCAGCCAAGCCCAGATGAAGGTCAGCGAGACCTTGGCCTCTTCCTAGAGAAGCTTGGGAGTGGAGTGAGTGGGGCTATGTTCAACACAGAACTCTGAAGGGACTCACAGACTTCTCGGGGGGCCTGGCCTTTCAGGGTGTTATGCAGGTAACTGAGGAAAGTGGGTAGAACATGACTTTCTTGAGCCTGCTAACGTGGTTCCTTCCATGGGGCACGGGGTCATAGGTCTCACAAGGTCCTTCCTGCTCCTCCATTCCCTGCACCCAGCCTACCTTCACAGACTCCCACTTCAGTCACCTTTTTGTCCCTTTGTTGCCTCCTCCAGCTGGCTGAACCTCATGCATCTGTCTCACTGCAGTTCCCGTCTTGCAGCTTTGTTTCCCAGTCTATGGAATAACAATGATGTCTTAGTCACTTTCTTGTCACTGAGACACAACATCTGACACCCAAAGTTAAAGGAGGAGAGGTTTACTGGACTCACAGTTTGTAGAGGGTTCAGTCCGTAGGTGGCTGGCTCCAAGGCAGGGTGGCATGGCAGAGGGGCGTCACAGTGCGTGGCAGGGCAGGCAGGAGGCACAGAGTCAGGGCAGGAGGGAGAAGCTAAGGGGGGGGCGATCCTTTCAGGTCATGCCCCTGAGACAAGCCTGTCCAACTGGACTGCACTCCCAACAGCCAGTCAGCTAAGAGTCCCACAAGCCAATCACCTTCCAAAAGCCCCACTGTGAGTTGATGAGGCTTTTGGGGGACATCGAGGCTTAACCCTTAACAGACCGCCTCCCTTCTACCCCCCACCTCCGAACCTCTCCAACCTAGCTCGGTGTGGTCCATCTAGCTGTGTTCCCCAGAGAAGATGAACCCACTCCCTAAAACACTCAGCGCCCTTGACGTTTCTATTGATCTTTTATATCACAGTATTTCCTCAGCCTATTTCTCTAGTTGAAACTGCTCTGTTGGGTTCGACTTGCAGCCATGTGACAGTGAAAATATTTATAATGCTCCTCTTATTAGCCCAGTAATTCAGCTGGGTTCTTAGTTAACTCACAAGGCACCCCAAATTCAACCCAAAATAGTGTGGGGGGTCTCGTTTCACCTATGGAGGACACACTGTAAGGCCCCAGTGGCTGCCTGAAACCTCTATGGATACTATGTTTTCCTGTGCAGGGCCAGGGAACAGCAGAGGGGACCCTAGGGACCCCTCGAACCCTATAGCTGACTGGGCGTGGGTTCGGGCTCAGCCCTATGAGGTGGGGACACGGCTTTCCCCGGATCGTTCCTGGGAGGCACCTGACAGATGAGCCCTAAGCCAGACTCTCTTTGGCCTGGCGGAAGTGCACTGCTCGGGCCGTGGGCTATCACTAAATGCTGGCTGCAGGAGCAACACAGTAGCTTTGGGGGGTAATCCCGCGTCCCGGGTGGTGCTCTGAGTTTGATCTACATATGAGTTCAAAGGTGTCATCAGTGCAAATCCACACATGACTCGGAGATCAGGAGCACCACAATTACATGCTGTGTGGCCGGGTGTGCGGGCAGTCTGCGGTGTTCACAGGGGCAGGCACGGTGTGTTGCGCGAGTTATAGGTGCCTGCAGGTCAGAGGATTTATTCTTCCAGACCCTGCCCCTTGCTTGGGGGACTTCTCTTTCCTTTACATCAGCGCTTGGCTCTTCCAGACGGGCAGATTCGCAGCCTGCGGGAATCCCAGCTCTGGGTTTGAACCCGAAGAACCCAGGACCCCAGAGAAAGGTGGACTCCCACGACTTCCAGGCCCGTCTCGGCGGGAAGGGAGTCCCCATGCTCCACAGCCCGGCTCCTGAGTCCTTGGCTCCCCAAGTGCTGACCACCCCACTGTCCTAGGAGGAACTGTCCCTATCACTTGAGAGTGTACGGTCCCAACCAACCCTTTTGGAGCGAGTGGCTGCAGGCCTGCAGGCCCTTTCCAAGCGCTTTGGTCCTCAGAAGGAAGGAAGGGTGGGTGAGTGGGTAGCTGGATGGGTTGGGGGAGACAGCCAGGGGTTGAGCCTCTCCTGGGGGGAGGAATCCGTGCCCAGCAGCGGGTGGGGGTGGGGCTCCGGCTGAGCTCCAGCGCGCCAGGAGGAGGGGCTCTGGGAAGCGGAGGGGAGGGGGAGAGGGGCAGGGCCGGCTCGGTGGCGGTGGCCTTGACGGTCGCGGGGTGGCGCAGGCGGCCTTGTCCTGTGTCGTGTCGCTATGTCGCCAAGCAAGGGCTGAGACGCTGAGGATGGGCTGCGGAGGGAGCCGGGCCGACGCCCTGGAGCCGCGCTACCTGGAGAGCTGGACGCGAGACACCGAGTCCACCTGGCTCACAGGCAGTGACACGGACGCGGGCCCGGACAGCGGTGAGTGGCAGCTCCTAGCATCCCTGGTGTCCGCGGGCGGTGGAGCGGGATGGAAACAGCTCGGGCTGGACACGGGCGTGAGGCCACCTTCCCAGTGACCCTACTCCCCCCGCGCCTGCTCATGCTATGGGGTCCACACTGTCCCCGTCCTACACCCTAACCTCGGGTCCTGTCGCCACGCGCGATGACCCGGGGCCTGTGGGGGACCAGGACTGTGTGGACCAGCTCTGGGTCCGTTGTGAACCTGCACCTGGGTGGCCAGGGACTCGGCGCTCTCTCCTGGGAGGCCCCTGTGCGGCCCCTGGTCAGTGTCCCGCTGGATACCAGCGCTCCTTGGCCTGAGTGTTCAGGCTCCTGGTCTGGGCCCTGGAGCAGCGGGGGCTCCGTGGACCAGGGCTTTCAGACCGGTGCTGCTGGGGGGAGGAGGGGGAAGAGCTTCCCGAGCCCTCTCGGAAGCAGAGCTGACAGTCCCTGCAGAGGCCAGGATCTGCCCCATGGGAGGTGACCACAGTCAGCAGGTGTTGGTGACAGAACGCAAAGCCCTCCACACTTAGCACAGGAATGCTCTCAAAGCCAATCAATATTTGGATTTTAAAAGTTGACCCCTTGCGTTGGCATCATGAAACCCAAGGTAGAAAATAATATGGATGGCCTGGGAGAAAGCTCAGTAGAATAAGTGCTTGCCTGGCAAGTGCAAGGTCCTGAGTTCAATCCCTGGTACCTAAAAAAAAAAAAAAAAAAAAAGGAGCATGACATAATTAGAAGGTTGAGGACAGAAAGGGAAACTGCCTTTACAAGACCGACCAAATCCGCGCCCCTAGATCGCAGCCAGACCTCCCCTCTCACCTTGGAGCAGGTCTCTCAGGACCCAGACCCTCCTCTTCTTTTTCTAGGTTTTGTTTTTCTGGTGAGGCAGGGTCTACCTATATTGTTCAAGCTGGCTTCGAGCTCCTGGGCTCAAGTAATCCTCATGTCTCAGCCTTCCAAACAACTGGGGCCACAGACAGACACGTGCCTGTCCTGCTTCCATTCCTCTCCCCACAAACTCTGCAGTTTGCTTTAAACCTGGAAAAGCTGTCCCAACACTGGGTTTATCTCTAAATTTCCCCAAGTCACAGTGAGCTTCAGAAGGGCTGTTTTGTGCTGTGGCTTTCAGTGAGTCCAAAGAGGAGGAGCAGATCCAGGGTCAGGCCAGGGAGGAACTGGGCCCCCTGTTCAGGACACGCACAAGCCGTAGCCCATTGAGCTTCCGGGGGAAGTGTAGCCCAAGGTCAGGGCTGCACCACAAGAACAGAAGGTTTCAAAGCTCCAGCCAGATAGAACAAAGTGTGGAGCCTGGAACCGTTGCCTCAGTGACTGGGAGGATGCACGCGTGCGTGTGTGTATAGGTGTACGCATGAGAGCTGCTGTGGACTGGCAGAACACGTGTG